CCCCAAAACCCCAAAACCCCAAAACCCCTCGATATAGGATTTATGGCAATAAGAAAAAGGACATTGATAATTTTAGCATTATTTATAGATTAATAAATTCACTTATTTATTGATTAGGTGTTTGAGAAGCGTCTCTTTCACTAAAATCTTGCTGGAGATCCTCGATATGTATCTCCTTTCTTTGTGCTTTAATATGAAGTTAGGTTTCCGGTGTCCTTCTTCTTCTAATTAGCGGCTGCAAGCATACTATTTTTCTGAGCTAATTTTCTCTGATAGTTGGACATCTGGGATTAGGGTCTTTGCTATGATTTTAACAGGCCATTATCAAAGGAGTGATGATCTATTCCGCCTATGCCTGTATGTTGGGTTTGTGCTGCACTTGAAATAATATTAGTAGTTCCTTGTAGAGAGAAATTACCCATCTAGGTATTTCCTGCACTAAGATAATTATGAGTCAATAGATTTTTATTAGAAGCATTTCCCAAAGATTTTTTCTTTGAGTGAACTCCTCCAGTTGAATTGGTTATCAAGTTGTTGCCTCCTGCGCCATTATGCTAACTGTGACTTAGATTCGTTGAGCCAGCAAAGCTGTGATTGTTGGAATTCATCATTGCATGTACAGCTACATTCATATCATATGAACCAGTTCGCATATGCTAAAAATTAAATGTAAATTTAGAAATAGTTACCCCTCCACTTGCTGATATAATCTGTTTGGATGATTCATTTGGCACCATCTTCTTTTCTTCATGTATACTTGAAGTTCTCTTAATATTGGTATTTGCTGTCTTTTTGGATTGATTTCGAGCACTAAAGTAATTTATAACTTGAATTTACGATGAATCTATGTGCTTTTAGTGAACTATTATATTTGAATTTATGTATGTTCCTGATAATATGCTAGTAGGAATTTATGTGATTTACGAGGTATTAATCCTAGCATCCATTGTATGTGAATTAAACTGATTTCCAGTTTCAGTGAAAGTTGGAATTTAATTGTAGTGCACATAACTTTGATTATGAGGATGATTATTATCAATAGAATTCTCACTAATAAATTTCCTATGTTCATCAGCAGTCATCTGATTCATTATCGCCTGATTGCCATTTTATTGCTTTTAAAAAAGTTGCTATTAATTTGGGAAGCTGCCAGGTTGATTTACTATAGAATATGTTATTTAAGAAAGATATATTACGTTAGGATTTTGCTCTTTTGTGATTCATCGCCATATTATTTGCTTGATTGGTAGAAATACCAACAGGCTAAAATAACTTTGAGTTTTTGCTATTGCTATTGTCTTTTAGTACTTACTTCTCAATGATGACTCCACGCTTATTACTAGATGGATGGTAATCGTTAGCACCAGGGTTATTTATATTATTTGCTGATACATTCATTTTATTATGATTATTTGAAATGTAGGGGCTCTTAGACATAAATGAGTTATTATTTGAGGTACTATTGTATTAAGTTTGATTTGGCATCATTCTATCAGGACTTTTAGACTGAAAATTAATTTATTATTATTACTAGGATTCAAAGCTTTACTCACCCTCTTTTTTCAATTTATTTATTTCCTATCTTGCCATGTTGTGATACTCTTTCTTAAGCCTTAACAAATCTTATCCTCTGTCAGATGAGGTACTTATATTATGAGTGTTAACATCATTACCAGCTGTTGTAGTCTTGTATTAACTTTGACTCATACCACTGGATGTTGTAACCTGGCCATTATTGATATTATTATAACTATAGTTTTTATTTTTCCCTCTCTGATCTGTAGAGGTATTTTCAAAATTCTAATTATAACTGATTTCTTCAAGAATAGCCTGACTATTGGTTGACTTCTCATGAATTGTTTTATTTCCTACAGCCGTAACACTTCTCACAGGAGTTTCTTTGTTGATAAGTGAGTTACTATTGTTACTTAGAATATTTTGGCCGCTGTTCCTAGCTATTTCATGACATTCTTTGTCGAGCTTGTCCACTTGCTTTTTAAGATCTTCGTTTGATTTAACGATTCTTTTGTACTCAATTTTAAGATTGTCGATTTCTTTCTCTCTCAAGCCCAGTAAATCTTTATATCGATTCAAATCTTTTATTACTTCATCTTCGAACTGCTGTCTTTCAGCTTTTTATTTTTCTCTCGCCTTCTCAGAATCATCTAACTTATCTTGAACGCATTCAATGTGCAACTTCAATTGTTATTCAATTTTAATGTGATTACGGACTTCTGCTTCATACTTTTACAGCATCGCTTCATAATCTTTTGGAGGCTCATCTATAGATCTAGCGCTTTCAGAATCAGAGATTTAATTGCTAGATTGATTTTATTAGTCTTTGATTTTAGTTTTCTTTGATTTATTGGTTGTCGATCCATCTTAATCTTATTCCTCCATCTTCATATTCATTAGTATCTCAATTGATGTTTTGATGTAATCAAGAATAGTGAAGGCATCAACATCTCGAAGTTTGTTTCTTTCCTTGGTGAGCATCTCCTCAGTATAATTATCAATCTATTTTATCAGTAATAATTAATCACTCAAACTCCCATGGTCAATTGCAATATGTAAGCATGAAGGTAATATTTTTTAAATGAATCTTGGATGAATTCAAGATATATACTTACCTCTTCATTCGACCTGATTTTAACACTCAGGTAGAGATCAATCAAGGACTCAATAAGTTTTTAGTTTTCAGACCGCGGCTGTTAACTGTGCTGTTGTTTCTTAGACATTCTTGCAAATTTATACTCACTGTTAATATTATATATTTAAATTCTTAAAAATATTGTATGATATTTTTATCAAACTTTAACTCTTTATTAAAGAAAACTAACTATTCAAAACCTTTTAATCCACACAAATATAAGTGCTGTTCAATCAATAATTTTTTATCATTAACAACTCTTGCATTATTTCTAGTAATGCTTGTCAAAATTTAGCATTTCATTTTCATGCAAGCTTACTCATTGCAACATTTAGTTCTGCTTAAACATGACATCAATAGTCTCAATTGGGTAATTTTTGCTCCACTTGGTCTAAAGCATATTGATTTTTTTATTTCTTGTTCCTGATTTTCTAATTCTAAATTTCCTTTCTGTCTGGTCTAACTTATCCAAACAAGAAATTTCTCTCATTGATGGATGTTAAGGGTGTGCATAACTCTTAAGCATAGTCTTTTGCTCTCGCGAATGCTCGAAATATCTCTATTCATAAAACTTGAGTTTAGAGGAGTTTAATCTTCATCAGAAATTAATTTTAGGCCCTAATTTATATTGCACGAACTTAACCTAGCTGAAGATAACCTGTGTGGCCTGCTTTGTTTTTTCGGACTCTCTTTTAAGTATTCTTAAATTGATTTAGTTTTTGTTTGAATTGAATGAATCTATTAGTTCTATTTGTAAATGAACATTATACTCTAACGGAATACTTTATCTTATGAGGGTGATTTTTTCTTTTTTTATGTCAGATTTTCATGTTAACCTTAATTTAGTACTGTTTCATTTCTAGAAGTTTTCATTTGAAAGAGATATTTAGGTTTTCTTCCGTCAAAAAGTAAGCCATTAACAAATTTAGCTGAATTAGCCATCTTATCTAATTTCTTAGTGGTTATTGAAGCTTTCTAATAAAATTTAACTTCCTTTAATCTATTTATATTCTTGGGTGAAGTATGATTACTATTTCTACCTCCTATACTTGTTTCACGGGTGAGTTAAAGATCAGATGGTTGGGATTTATCAATTGGTTCTTTAAATCTTACTGTTTATTAAGGTTGTTTATCAAAAGATTCGTTTGGATCAATCTCAACATTAAAGAACTCGCAAAATAAACTACGTCTATCAAATTTGTTTTGCAGTGTTTTCATTGTCTTGACTGTAAATATTTTTACTATTAAATCTCAAATGTAATTGTTACAATTTTCCACAGGTTTAGCTATTCGGGGTTTTGGGGTTTTGGGG